CCCCCCCCCCCCCGGAGAGGTCCAAAATAAAGTTTTGTCGAGTAGGTGTCGCAAAAGTGTTTTTGTGTGCCCTTGGGGAGAAGCCCTGTCGTGTGTCATGAAATGTAACCTTCACAGATAACACGGCGCAGTGCCTTTTGACAACTTGCCGGAATAGGCTTTTTGCTGCTGTGGATCTCGTTTTAGGAAAAGTGCATCAAAACAAAAAATATATGCATCTATACAACAAGAAAAATATTACCGGTCCTATTTTGAATCTACAGCAGCTGTTTCCCATGATTATTTTTCTAGTTTGTTTGGTCCCTCTACCTTTGAGTTCGCCCAGGGGTGTTTGTTTTACCAACACTACTTTCGCCCCCCGGGGCGCACTCAAGAGGGTGTAGTTTTCAAGGCTCCCTTCGGGAGGTGGCTTGCTTCCCGGGACCGACGCAGAGGACATGGCCAGTGTCATCACCGCTGCCACGTTGCATCTCCACGTAGGGCTTGTTTCCCTGTCTGCGGCCTGCAGAAATTCGAAACTTGGTCGGGTGAGGGGTCTCGCGAACGGGTATAGTATCATTTTTCTCATCGTGACGTTTCGGGTGGGGGACTTTTTCTGGCTGTTGGCGTCTTCGCCGCAGATCCTAGCACTTTATCCCGTTGCATTTGATCGCTTACGACCTAGATGGCCGGCGCCGCTATACCGCCTCCCTACACGTGTGCACTATCTATTACTTCAACGATAACACGTGGGACAGTATTTCATGAAACTCTCTCGTTTATATTTCGTGCATCTATTAGCGACGTTGCCACAAACAAATGATGTCACCCAATCAACGACCCGCCCAACAAAAATTCACCAATAGAACCTTGTTCTCCCTAGACGAATGAGAGAGTTTGCGTGACCGCGTGCGATCGCAACAAACTGCCAGCAGAGCGACTTTGGCTCAAAGCAACCTCCCATCCATCCGATGACTCCCATTCCATTCTACTCTGCACTGCTCTTGCGACTCCAACAGGTACGTGTGGAACGAAGAAGCACCATGTTTGCCCGGCCGATCGAGCTTCTCATCGCCGTATCGGCTCTCCTGCACATGGACCACGTGTCGGGCCAGTGTATCAGTACGCCGTACGTCTCCTGGCACTCGTGTGGAGTACCTCACTATGCGAATCCACAATCGTGTGATCGAGCGGACGTCTTTTTCCATATCTATCGGGAGACCAACGTGAGTGGTTAGGTGCTGTTATCCCACGCAACTAACTAGCTATTGGGTGAACTACATAGGTGGCATGGGAGATATTCGGTATGCTGCGCGAAATACAATATACATGAACTCACCGAAGGCACCTTGAGGACATGTAGGCTCTTCTCGTCCAGAGAACGTATCGTCCGCAATACACTGGGATACGTTTTGGAGACGTTGATTCGCCCCTTTCGCCTGGCGTGTTCACGATGCTCGACTCCACAACTCCCCTTTGCTGTCGCTGCCCCCGCTTGGTGTGTGACGTCGACCTGTGCAGTGCGTTTCGTCTAACCCGGTCGTGACTCTCGATTTCACGGCACCTATAGCGAGCAGTGGTGATGCCTATGGCTATATCGAGGGCGACTCCACCAGCATATCAGGGGACGTATCGGATGACCAGTTGAGCATCACATTCGACATGGGCGAGGCCGGTCTAGATCCATTTTATGTGCTGACCGAGACACAGGATCACTACTACTGGTATTTTTGGGTTATTCTTGACAACTGCGACACCGCCTACACGTGGAGCGACAACTTCGTCCAGCTTTCCTACGTCGACGACGAGCAAAACATCATCGACCTCTCCGGCTTTGAAGATCCTAACATCGATGAGACTGACACCGGGATATGTTGTGAGTACGGTTGAAGAGGTTGTGCCAACTACAGCATTGCCGTTCGGAAAGAATTGCTCGCCCCTCATGCCTTCGTTCCACTGGAACCCTGTAAACTTTTGTGCTTTAGAATACTTCACCGTCTGTGCGTGTTTCCTGAAGCCGAAAGCATTTCAATGCAAGATCAAAAGCTACGGCAGCCCGATGCTTTCCTACCTCAACTTGACATGCGCGTGTATTTCGCGTTTCTCCTGTCCTGGCAGCCACTCCTAGCCCGGTCGCGCCAACGCCTGTGACCGACGCCACCCCTGCCCCCACCCCTGCCCCGACCATGCGTGGTGAGTCAGTGATGAATGTATTGTCATGCAGTAGACTTGGTAGGCCGCAGTGTCGGCCGATACTCAGACTGTCGTGTACATGCACATGATGTCAATCAACGCTTCGGATCGTTTTGTCTGCAGAGCTCCTGCCGACGCTGTTCTTCAACAGCAATGCCTAGAGCAGTTGTAACCACGAGAAGGGAGAACCACAAGCAAGCTAAGCTAAAATGCGCTGTGTATCATCACATCTATTCTGGGCGCCAGAGTCGATACACTTGGGCGTAAAATGTGTGCGGATGCACCAGCCGGGACCAAACATGAGGAAGGTCATGCAGTACATTAGGCTGTGATGTATTTCCCACTAAGTTCCTTCTGCGGTGCTTGCAATATTGATGAGTATGGGTAGACGGCAGCCCTCTTCAACTGCTTTATCGAAATGTGTATACTCAGAATTTTCGAAATGCCTCTCAAATTCGAAACCTAACCCTAAAGTATGCCGTGAGAGAACAAAGTCCGGTCGTATGACTTCAGCTACGAGATGCGCACTCCAGGTTTTCCAGCTGGGGTGGTTGGGTAGATTTACTAACCAGCGCATTTTCTGTTGGTATGCCGAAGATGCAAGCACGTACGTAGGAAGAACTGATTTCGGTCTGACGCGCACATCATATCATGACACTTCCACGTTTCCCCAGAGAGAATCTCCGCATGCACAATCCCGTTGATCCCCTCTTAACCTACGCTCACGTGCCCCCTGCTCATATCACTCATGCTGCTGCATAACAGGCGCCTACTGCCACGGTGACCCGCACTGCCAGACGTTCGACGGTCTCTACTACGACTGCCATGGGGATGGGGACTTCGTGCTGCTCGAGTCGGCGGACACGGGAGCCGTGGTGCACGCGCGGTTTGAGCCGCTCGTCAGCCCCGATGCCTCTTTCACCACCGGCGTGGCCGCAACCGAGGGCGGCTCCTCGGTGATCGAGGTCACCGTGAGCGATGGCGAGCGCACCATCTTGATCGACGGAGAAGCGTATGCGTACGACGAAGGAGACGACTTGCCGGCAACCATGACGGGGGTAGCCCTCACAGTCACGGACCAAAACGTGGACATGCTGTTTCCGTCGGGGTTGCAGGTTAATGCCAGGCGCTGGTTCACGGACCCGAACTACATCGGGGGTGTCTACGTGTACGCGCCACTCGACATGCCCACGGTCGGCGTTCTCGGCACCAACAACGGCAACAGGGCCGACGATTGGACGGTGAGAACAGCGTCGGTCGGTGAATAGTCACGTTTGGTTGGCGGGAGTGGGTGGGGATATTTCAAACAGCGCAAATGTTTCGCGGTGAGTCTGTGGCGACGACGTTCGTTCTTTGCTGTATTGGATTGGCTGCAGAATCATCCACCATGCCGCCCGGATGTCGCACAAAGCGATCGTCTCAACGCAAGAGTGCACCGACTTCTGTGAAGGTTTGGTGGATCCAGAACGGATGGACAGCGCACATGCAGGGCACGTTAGGGGCTGCTCACTGCACCGACGTCAGTTCATGATTGTCTGTGTTTTTGTTGTGTAACGGTTTGGCTCTGAACCTGCCGATTGAGGTTTCGCCGTCTCCATTGTCGACCACTGCTGTCGTTGCTGAGACGTACCCGCAGTAGTCAGTCACTAGATACCGGTCACCGGTACCTTGCTTATCCGCAACTTAGATACTGCAGTTTGTGCTGCACCCTGCATACATAGGTCCACTAGATTTCGTATTTGCGTGCACAAGCGCTTTGGCTGCTTTAGGTATCCATACAAACTCTGCTTCAAAATATGGATCTCCACGAGGCCTTTCCGCGAGAAACGTTTTCCTCTCACTTAGCTCTGGCATTGTCTATCTCTGTTGTCAAGAGACCGAACGTTTTGGGCAAAAACTCCGATCAAACATCAGTGGTATACTATTCATATGTTGTCGCTCTCTGATGTGTTTCCTGAATGCTTCGAGGCACCCTCCTACACAGTCCCTTGTCAATGTAGACCACTGTACTTGGTTCTCCTCTCACCGCAGGACTCCTCAGGCGAGACGATTGATGCGGGATCGGCGTCTGTCGCCGAAGGGTACAACTACTGCACATCCAACTGGGAAGCGGAAGAGAGCCTGCTTACAACATCCTCGCGCCTCCGTTCACGCCGCTTGCAAACCAGCGATTACGTCGCGCCAGTGATCCCAGATGTCATCCCTACCGATGTGGAAGAGGTACGCACAACACTTTTCGGATGATACTTTGACCAAGCGCAGTGCAAAGCTCAGCCCCAACGCTGCCTGGAAATGGAATTGTATGTTGTTCTGAGCTTGGTCCCGAACTCGGTCGATGGATCACCCGCACCTGCTGTCTGGTGTCGTTTGTTGTGTGTTCTCTACATGTAGGTGAGGGGGTTCGTCGTTGGAAACGGCGAGTCTCCACTGTAGGAACCACACCCCACGTTCCAACGTCGCGCGAACAACATGGAGTTGGGGTTCGGCCCTTTCTTCTGTGGGTGGTAGTCGACATCAGACCCTTTGTTGCCTGTGACGTTTCCGCATAGACAGTGATCGGCAAGTCAAACACCCACCGCCTCCAAAGCCTAGAGTTGCCTTGCTGCTCAAAGATAATGAACCCCGGCGCTATGTCATAGCGAGTACGATGTGCTCTTCGCTTCACATTATTCTCAATGGGTTATTATTGTGGGGCGAACCCGGCTCCATCCATCCGAGGTCGATCGTCTACTGCTATTGCTCCTCACCGGCGGCTCTTCCCCCCCCCACCCCCCGGTTTCGAACAGCTGTGTGGCGATAACACCGAGTGCATCTTCGACGCGATCGTCGTGGGCTTGGATGTGGGAGCTGCCACCCTTGAAGCCGGCGAAGAGTTCGAGACTGAGGTTCAAGCAGCTGGCGGTGGTGAGCAAAAGTTGATTTTTTTCTGTCATTATTTTTCTATGATAGGCCGCCGACATGGACGTACACTGTCCCTTCACACGCGCCTCGTGCCCCTATGTACGCCAAGGTCACTTCTCTCTCTCTCTCTCTCTCTCTCTCTCTCTCTCTCTCTCCCTCTCTCTCGGTCGCTTCAACACAATCCCAACAGACGTGTGCGAAGAAAACGCCTTTAGCAGCGACGGCTTGTCTCCGTGCACCGACTGCCCAGACGGAGAAACCTCCGGCAGGGGCGCCGTCGTCTGTGAAGGTAACGTGTTAGGTCACCATAGATGTGTCTTGTACCACGTCCGGTAACAATGAAAGACGATCTGTTCACGAGCGGTTTAAGCCAAAGCCCCGCCCGGTACGATACAGTAGAAAATGCTTGCTGGACAAGAGAATTTCAGGATCGAGTTGCCCATGTAGTGTACACACGACTGATACATGGGACTTCGTATCAAAATATTTCATAGATTGGCAGCTTGATGGGTTACTTGATGGGTTAGACTACACTGCATGGCTGCAAGACGTAGAAATAACTAAGTCTGAATTGGAACGTCGATTTGCCCATGTGTGTTAAGCCGTTATGATCGTCCAGCAACTGCCATTTTCTGCTATAATGTAAACAGTGGCCGCGTTCGAATATATATTTTCCCTCCCACCCTTGCCGACCCGTTGTCCACCGTCCAATCTTTATGAAGCGGTTTCGACGCCCAGCCCCACTGTGGTTGAAGAGCCTCCTACTCCCAACCCCACGCCCAGCCCCACTCCAGTTATGGATGAAGCAGCTCCCACTCCCAGCCCCACTCCAGTTATGGATGAAGCAGCTCCCACTCCCAGCCCCGTCGAATGGCGCACACAACCTCCCACTCCCAGCCCTACTCCTGGCTCATCACCTACGACGGGCTCTAGCCCCGATTCGCTCGGGTGCTACGAGGACGACCGCGAAGACCGTATCCTGGACGATCTCGCTCTTTCCGACGGCTCCATGACAACCGAGGTGACTAAATCGTTTTGACAAACTTATCGCAGTGTTACTGTTTTTTTAGAGACGGAGAGACACAGAGGCATGCTTGTGGGGATTTCAACGTCATCACAGATCGGGACGGCTCTTAACCTGAAGACCACAACACTAACAACAGCAACAACAACCACAACGTCCCCGCTCGAACCTCCGGAACTCTCTCCCTGGCTGATGGAAAGATATCGTGCCAAGCACGCGAGGGTTAACTGATGTTCTTGCTGAACTGGATACATTTTCAGGTTCTGGCCACCGGTCACCCTACGCAGAAAGCAAGCGCCCTATCTTCATGGTGATCACTCATGCATGCCCCTACGTGCGACGTAGAAGGCCGGCCACGTTGGGGATTTCATTTCATGGGAGCAAGCAGTCTCCTTATGTGTTACCATCATGATGTTGTGTGCCTATTACAATATGACCAACGTACTGAGTGTCTACCACAAAAGCAAGGACTACGCTCCTGCAATGTACATTGTGCGCCTCTAGTAGTTGAGAGCGGTGTGAACCCTGTTCTGTAGCCATGCCATTGACTAATGTCTTTCTCTCTGCGTCGTGCTGAAAATGCACGTCCCTGTGTTTGTTTGCCGCGGTTCCGTCCCGTCCCTGCCGTATTGTGCCGTTACGTGGTTCTGACATCAGCTGTGCGAGCTGGCATGCCTCGGAAGCACCTACTTCGCCACCCAGTACGGGCGAGAGGTGAGTTCGGGTGAATAGCAAAGAGCGCGGGCCTACCAACGGTTCAAACGAAATATTTTGTGTAGCGAACCTTTTTCGTACGCACATCGAATCCATTTTGGATGCGTGAAGTCAGAACTTCGCCTCCCTGCGATATGGCCGAATTGCGTTCAACATGTACACACCGAGGTCAAGCAGACGCTCATACCATATCTATTGCAAGCCGTTTGAAGAACTGACCGCGAAGGTCGAGTTGGACGTTTGGCAGTCCTCCGTACGTTGGCGAATGTCTGTGTGTCGACCGAAAGGCATGGTACGCACACCAAGAGACGCCCGAGCGGGGCCCAGAATTGTTGCCGATGTGGATAAACTAGCAACGACGACGACGACGACAACTATGACGTTAAGCAGCATGTATTGCATGGCAAGAGCACTGTAAACTGCTCTGAGGCAGGTGTTCCTCAGGGGTGAGACGAACGGCTGCCCGTCGTCCTGGTCGTATGATATGGTCAAGCTTTGTTCGTCACTACCGAAAACGACATGTGTTTGTTGCCTCTGCCAAACGCATTCTTGGCCAAAACCCCGCATCCCGCCCGGTTGTCTGTGTTACCTCTACCTGAAACAAACACACGCAGTGCTGGTGTGGTTCGGCTGATGTGGACTATGCTTTGCACGGGGAGTCCACCGACTGCAGCTACGCCTGCGCCGGGAACGCTGACCAAGCATGCGGCGGGTTCTACGCCGCCAACGTCTACCGCTACACGGATGAGAGCACTCCCAATCCCACTCCAAGCCCCGCGGCAACAGGCCCTCTAGCACTTGGGTGCTACGAGGACGACCGCGAAGACCGTATCATGGACGATCTCGCTCTTTCCGACTACTCCATGACAACCGAGGTGATGATATCATTCATGGATATTGTTTTGGCTTCCATTCCCTCCATGGCTGAAATATGTTTGGTTCGTTGGGGGGTGGACAGCACCTACAGGTACGCCCAAAAACACCTTGCCGCAGATGAACAGGGGGTATTTCATGGTTGTGAGGCCTATCTCGCAATGTGGCATGGTTGGAATTGGTTTCTTCAAAATGATCCCAACATGCGGTAACAGCGTTGTGGGTGACACGTTTCGTTCACACCCGTCCGCTCGTACATCTACCGTTGTTGGCCATGTATCAGTCGCCGTAAAAAACACCAAACAATCCCCTGCACGGGTCCCCCAGACGATCGGTTTCGTTGAAGCGTTGCAACTAACGTACTGAATGGCCAAAGGATGAACTGTCTCGTCTCCATTTTTGCTCCAGCATGAACTCCTAACGAATACGTTTCATTTGATGCACTTGAGAGAGTTCACCTCGAAACGTGTCCGAGTACGTCAAGTTACATAGTACACGCTCCATCCTGTTTCAGGTTTGGTTCATGCTCCCTTTGTCTTTTCTCCCTGTCGTTTTCTTCGATGACATGTCTAATAACAGCTGTGCGAGCAAACATGCCTCGGAAACACCTACTTCGCCACGCAGTACGGGCGAGAGGTGAGTTAAGGTAGATGGCAGTTTCGTAAACAACCATATTTTCCTCGCCTTAGGGCTATAACCCTAACCCCACTACATACCAACTTGTATCATATTTTGAGACTGCACCGTCGTTAAGTTTATGTGACCACCGCATAGTAATATTTGGCGTTTATATCAGCGTTTTGTATATTGCAGAATTGCTGACGAAAGCGGCTGGGGTGACAATCGTAACCCGATCCAACACAAAATACATCTTGCTTACTACAATATTCCCAAACATAACGCGATGAATGATTTTCCGAAATCCTTCACTTAACCCTTCCTACGAGCATTGGGATTCCGAGGTTTTACCCGTTCGACTGCCGGTATGGCCGAGCTTTTCGCGCCTCGACCAAACGTCACGCCCTGTCGTCCCTACACCTGATTTTACAATACACAGTGCTGGTGTGGTTCGGCTGGTGTGGAGTACGCTTTGCACGGGGAGTCCACCGACTGCACCTACGCCTGCGCAGGGGACGCTGACCAAACGTGTGGCGGGTTCGACGCCGCCAACGTCTACCGCTACACGGATGAGAGCACTCCCACATCATCGTTTGTCGGGTGCTATCAGGATGAGTCGGACGCCCGCATCATGGAACTCGCGCTGACGGACAGTTCTTCTATGACCAAGGAGGTGCGGAGGAGTGGTTCTGGTGTGCCAAGGGCTCGACAGAAGCACGCGCCTACCTCGTTTGTGGGTAAACTCAACGCTGTTCCGATGTCAAACAGCTGGTGTTGAAGTCTCAGCAGTGAGATATTCCTTGTCGATGTTCATAACATTTTCTGCTCTTCCCCCTGGTGTGATGGCTTGGATATCGGTTGGGTTTGCAGATGTGCGAGGCGGAGTGCACCGGAAACACATTCTTCGGCATGCAGTACGGGAGGGAGGTGAGAGGCGGTTCCTTGTGATACATCTACGGCAAGAATCAAGTTGGTGTTTCTACAGATCGTGATGGAAGGTTTTAGTCGTGTGGTTTCACAAGCTAAGGTCTAATTTCCTGTATCCACCAAAACGGGTAGCCATTCCATGCAGACGATGCAAAAATGTTTCAAACGCTGGTGACCTTGAACCCATCCCGGTCTGGCCGGTCGCCGAACTTTCCCACCTCCCCCATGTACGTTAATTCCCATTATCGAAAGACGCTCTTTAAATGAATAATCCAACAACAGGAAACAGCAGTACCAGCACTAGTTAAGAGAGCCATTCAGCAAACATGCGCGCTGGAGATGACACAACAAGTAGCAACACCCAAATGTTTGCATTTCGCGTTGTCGTCATGTCTGTCGGCCATGAATCGACTCCAACAGTGCTTCTGCGGCGGGAGCTCAACCGACCTCTTGGAGCACGGGGAGTCAAGTGCCTGCAACTACGAGTGTCCGGGCGATTCCGACCAAGTGTGCGGAGGATTCTACGCCATGAGCGTGTACTCCTATTCGTAGTGTCATATCCCCAAGTAATCGCGATATCTCCTCGCTTGGCGTCAGAATGGGTGGCGGTGAAGGCACCGCAATGCGAAGACCCCTCTGACAACGTCAGGGAGATGGTCGAAAATGTGGTAGACGCACGAAACGATCTGTTTGCACGGAACAAAGGTTACCATCGGCATCGATAGTAAGTCCCACCTGATCGTACATCTCTCATGCGTATGTCCATCTTTGGTGTGTCGGGATCGAAGGCGGCACGTTGCCCTTTGTGTGAGCTTCATAAGGTGGCCCGGGTGTTGGAGCTGGGACTAGTCTATGTTGTTCGCATTCAAACCGAAAGATTGTTGACACGGCAGTAAGAGCGGAGAAAACAGGATGTGCCAAATCTTTTTCGCTCCATTAGTTGGGAGGGGAATGAACTTGGCTGATCTCGTTGTATGTGAAACACGTCTAGAAACCGTTGAATTGTACATTGGCATAAGAATTTACCCGAAACCAAGCTTGTCGATAAGAGACACATGCCGCATCAGCTCCGATTACCAAGGAGATACGGTGCCGAAAGCGAGGGGCACTTCCTGTTCAGTCGGATTGTACATGCAGCCGTTGTTTCATCGCATGGTCAAAAGAATAGCTCAGGAATAGTGGTGGCCGACAACCAGCGTGGCCGTAGAATCAACAACCGGGTCACGTTTTCGCTGGACTGCATGCCTTCACACCCGGCAAGGCCGTGTTTTATGGAAAACTTCTTGTCGTTGAGCTATGTAGATGAGAAAAGGTAGACTACCGCGGTACCTATATACTTGGTGTAGCAAAAGACATACGTTCGTAGGGACTTTCACGATCGTCCGGCTTCCACCCTCGCATGGTAAAAGAGTGCACCGACTCTATTGCCGTAGCATGGTACTCTTTAGGAGCAAGGAGACTGGGGGCGGGTTGGGGGCGGAGTACAAGGTTGACTTGAAGTCACTGGTACAAGGTGTTACTACGCAAGTTTGACACTGTATTCATTCTTGTGTTCGTGCTACATACGTGTTCGTACGGGATATGTCTACACTTATCCGTCGTACCTACCTGGAAAGCGCATTGTGACGTGGTGAGAGGCTTGAAAATTTCTGAAGATATCTATGAAAATGCGTGATAAGGTAGAGGTATGCGGAGCTCGCACGAAATCGCAATATTAACTGCTGCTATTGTTGGACTGTGCCAGGGAGGTGCACGTGCGGGGAAACAGGTTCGGGGGTTTCCACCGGCCGTCCTTGTAAGCAGACAGACATCTACCCCAAGAGGAAAATGTCGGTGTCGATATTTTAAGGTGTTACTACCATTTGGAACGGAGTTTTTAGCGGCCATATTTTCGGCGGTAGTTCTATTCGGCGCTAATTTTGTTGACGGTAGGCGAAATTGCGGGTTTTGGCGGTAACGACTTCGGCGGAAGCGGTTTAACAAATCTGGCGGTGCTTTTTGGGCGGTATTGCCATATGGCGGTCTCAGTTTGGGCGGTGAGCGGTATATGCGTTTTTCGGCGGTATTTGGCGGTGGCGGTTAAGCAATGAACGGCGAAGAAACGGCGGTATACCGGAACAGCACACCACGGCGGCATTTCCGCGGCGGTACAATTACCGAGTATACCCTTCATAATTCAATCCGGTTGGCCCTGAAGCTGTTTCGAATTAAATTTGCGGATGGGGTGATAAAAAAACAAACATACGAATGTACGCGTCACGGACTTTCAGCGTCCTGTTTTCGCCCTTTCCAGCGTAGCGGCGAGTTGCTATGAGTACGTAGGCGTGCGAACGCGCTCGCGCGCTTGGTTGGGACCATCTCCGTGCTTTCCGGGCGATGTAGGTGGTGAGTGATCACATCAAGCGTAAGTTTGGGATGTTTCGACTCTTTCCTGCCATCATCGTAGGCATAGGAAACCATGTAGACGATATATTGTGTGGAAAAGGGACACTACAGTCTAGGCTATTATACCATCAACACAGAGTGCCGCCCGATACGTCGGCGTCTTGTCTCAGTGGTGTTCAGCACATACATTTCGGAAAAATAATACTGTATTCCTGTCTCGGAGTTTGGACTTGGAAATGTTTTGATTTGTTTGGATGAGGCCTCCTGTCCGGTCAGAAGTACCGCACCCGAAATACAAAATCGTCTGTAGGCTATGTATGAGCCAGAGTACCTCCATCGTAGACACATGCCGAACTCAAATTGTCTATCTGGTGCGTGTTCTTGCACCACACCAGCTAAATGCCTGCGTGAAACCGTCGCTCAACGGCAGCTTGTCCGCTTGGTCTGAAGTACTGCCCAACTTTCGCCGTTTCCATTTTTCGACGGGTCCTGTCGTCTGTCTGCCCGATGTCTGTCCGATGTATGTCCTCGCCGCCGATTCGGCTTTCCGACCTCCGAGCTTCATCATTTCGTCCACGGTCGTACTTGCCAGTGTTTTTTCTGAGAGAACCTCTAGCCCTAAACAAGAGCGTTGTTGTAATGTGAGTCGAGAACTTCGCGACCCGCAAGTGCGATTGCAGAGCCACTGTCATCCGTGGAGGCGACAGAGGCAACGCACCCTTACTCACGTCGGCAGTCACTACCGGAGCCAGATGACCGGCTGCCAAGTCCCAACCTACAACACAGCATAAATTCGAAACTACTTTCTCTGTGTTCCTACGGCTCTCAGCTGTCGTGCAAGCCCTCGTTCGTCCCATAGTGACCGGTACATGTGGTCGCCGACATACATCTGGTTGCCGCTATTACATGTTGCCTTTCGTCCGTTTACTTACGGCCGGTCATGTTCAGGTAGTTCAGGTGTTCTTGCTCCTGCTGTTTGGACCTTTGCAGCGTTAATGTGTGACACACGCATACGTGTCTGTTTGGGCCGTGCAAGCTCCCTTTCAAAAGCTTGCAGTCTGAAACGGGGGACGGTCAAGTTGCGAAGCGTGGATTGCGTTCGGATGTGAAGACGTCACCACAGAGACGCGTAGTCGACAGAAAATTGCATATCGAAGATAGTACCGGACGTCGGACGTCGGACGTCAGACGACCAATCACGTTCGAAATTGGAGCACTAGACGAACACACCCTTGCACACGAACGCTCCAAAAGAAAATAATGGATTTCGATGTAAACGTACCTTGCCTTATTCATAGGTGCGAATAGATTGATGCTGACACATACTGTGCAACCCTCCCCTTCCCGCCGTAGGAACGACTCCATGGTCAACTACGTATTCGGTTTCGTTAGTTTTTACGTCCGCCGATGTCCACCTTCGGTCCAATCTTTCATCCTTGTCGATTCCCGGGAATGGTCCTTCAGCCCCGCGGGTTGGCGGGTGTCGCAGTACAGCCGATGCGCGACTACTCCTCTTCTCGCTTGACATCAAGACCTCTTCCTCGCGAGTCGAAAAGTTTCGGTCTCCATTCTTCTTGGGTTCCTGCGCTGGATTCGCGGTCTTCTGCCCACCGAGCAGGTACTGGATGGATGTCCCGACTTTGGGTCTGTATATCCAGGGCTTGGTCAGGCGAAAGTGATCCCAAGATGTCGCCCACGTTCTCCTTGCTCTTCCCACCATCGTGGCGAAGAGTCGGCGCTGATCTAATGCCTCGCGGCCTGCCACACGTTCTGCGCGTTCTCCGGGGAACATGCGTTCATTGTCGTGGTCGTCGTCGAACATAGACCCTCAGTTGTGATCGTCCGCCGGTATTCCTATCCTTGCCCAAGGAGGTATCACTGCCGTCATCTTCCTGGTCATCGCCGCTACTCCTACCCTTGCCGAAGTAGGCATCACTGCCGGCATCCTCCTGGTTGTCGCTTCTACTCCTATTCTCTCCTATTCTCTTCCAAATAGTCGTCACTGTCGTCATCCTGCCCCTCGATGGGTAACCTACACTATTTGATAAATGGAATAAGCTTCCATAGCAACACCACGGAGGCGTCTGGACATACTGTCATTCCAGCTTCCCTACCCTGACCCTAACCGTAACCCTAACCCTAACCCTAACCCCGATAAGATCGTGGAAGCTAACCCGAGGCTGAATACTTCCATGGAAGCTGCCCTAAACCTGTTTTGAAAAGCTTCCATGGAAGCCTAACGTTCGACTTCCATGGAAGCTATTCCACTTCCGAGGGGTTTCCATGGGACTTCCGTGGAAGTTAACTTCCATGGAAGTGGCACATCCATATTTCGCATCTTTATTGCCATGGAAGTGAGTATCGCTTCCACGGAAGTGTCGTTTTGCGCTTCCATGGAACAGGTATCAGCTTCCACGGAAGTAGATCCAACTTCCATGGAAGCTGATATATACTTCCATGGAAGGGGTACACATTCGTCAAATACTGTGGGAGATCGGGGTCCCTCGATGGTGCCATTCCCGCTTCCCTCCCTCTCCGCACTCTTCTTCGGCAGACTGCCGTCGATCTCACCCTCTTTGGCGACAGAATCACTGCCATCCGCTGTCGCCCCCCCGGATTCTTGCTCTTGGCCACCCTTTTCCCCTGCGGGCTTGGTGGTTGTCGGGGTACCGGCATCGATCTGGCATGCGCTACGTCGGCGTCGACGAGATCAGCAGGAACCGCTTCCATGCAACCTCTTGAATCGATCACCACATTATTCGAGGCGGGTTCAAAATTGCCATCCTCGTGACCTTGAAAACAGTTCCAAACCAAGATTTCTGGTGTCCCACCACCTCCCGGTGTGAAACCGAATTCCGACTCCGACACGCACTACATCTCCCTGGTTAAAGCGAATCAGAGGCAAAATATCCCTGGGCGTCGTTGCCAAGTACATGTAGGCTTCACTATCAGCTTCGAGGAGGGTACCTCGTCGAGGGGACCGATATGCATCTGAAACTGAACTCTGACGTTTTCAGTAGCACGACACAGTGGTCAAAGTCGGAGTGAACGTGTTGCAAACATTCATCCCCAAGAAAGCAATACCACGTCGTTGAAGAAATAGAGCTCCATGGAAACACGGTCTTGACCAAACTCACTCATTTATTTTTGCGGATGACTTCATGGGC